ATGATGTCATAGGGCAACGTATTACTCACGTGTTTGTGGTGATGCTGGTATAAACAAGTCTACTTCACTGCCAGTCATATAAAAGTATAGCACATACAATTATGTACGGTATATAGTACTTGATAATAAATGACTGTTATTGGTTTATGTATTTACTATACTATACTTTTGTTATTTTAAAGTGAATCTTTTTACTTATTAAAAAAAGTTTGCTCTGAAACAATACATTGTATTATGCCGCAGTAGCCTTACACATCTTGTGTTTATAGTGACTCTTGATTGCATCGTTTTCTCTTGTGCTTGTGCTTGACTTACTCTCATGTTGTTTTGTACAACAAAATGCTGTATAGGTTTGTAGCCTAGGAGCAAAAGGCTGAACCATACAGCCTTGGTGCGTAGTAGGCTGAACCATCCAGGTTTGTGTAAGTGCGCTATGTGAGGTTCGCACAAAGACAAAACTACCTAATGATGCATTTCTCAGAACATATTCCCATTGTTAAGAGGCACATGACTGTATAAACAAATGTTTTAAATTTTATACATATTTAATTGTCTCTGATCACGTATATTTATGAATATCTCTTTGACATTACATATATACATCTGCATCATCATTTTAAATAGCTACACGGTATTCTACAGATGGATATTTCATAATATATCTACTGTTGGATATTTAGGTTGTTTCTAATTTTTCCATTATACATAGTAAAGAGATGAACAGCTCTGTGTATATGTCGACACTTGTCCAACTATTTCATTAGGATATACCTCTGGAAGTGAGTCAAAGTCTCACTTTGAGGCTTTGATGCAGATTGCCAAATCATCTTCAGAAAGTCTGCACCTGCTTTTACAACTACTGCTTGTGTGAGTATCCATTTCCCACACCTCTGTCGGGGTTTTATCATTATCGTCTTAGTATATGACACGTAGAAAGCATTTTAAACTGTTTCCTTTTCTGTTAGTGAGGGTGAACTTTTTAAAACAGCTTTGAAGTTTCATTTAAACATCATAAAATTCAACTAGTGCATGTGTACGACTCAATGATTTTTGTAATTATATAGTTGTGTAACCATTAACACACTCGAGAACATTTCTATCACCCTAGAAATTTCCCTCATACTCATTTACATGAATCCCCGCTCCTAGGAAATTTGTTTTCCGTTCCATAAATTTGCCCTTTCTAGACATTTCATATACATGGAACTGTATAACATGTAGTTTTTTTGTGTCTGCCTTCTTTCATTTAATGTTTTTAAGGTTACCCATTAGCATGTATCAGTAGTTCAACCCTGAACTTATTTTTCTCATCATGTTTATCTGCAGTTTTTCCTCTGAGAGCTACCTGTTACAAAGGCCCTTGTATATTTTTCTGCTGGGGCACTGAAGCATTTTACAGAGGAGGGACACAGTCAGTGTCATATTAAATAAAGAGACTCTTGATAGCGTTGGGAAGAATAACTCTGTATTTACATTTCCAAATCTAGGACAATCAGTCAAAGTTTACTGCATTGGATTAAGCTTTATCTACATACAGCACTGATAATACAGCGCTGAAGGGTAACTATTTAAATGATTTTAGTTTTCTTAGCTATCATGAATTTCTTATTTTTTTCTCTAAAAAAATTTAAGTCAATCCTTTAATAAACAGATTCTTTCTGGAACGTAGTAGAGTATAAGTAAAAAAAAAACCCATGACCGTACTTTAATGTTGTTCTTGTTAGCTTGTTTTCTGCATCAAAATTTGAGCCCTTAAAAAGTTCATCATCTCTGATTCATCATATAGCTATTTGACAATTAAACAGTATTCTTTGAACCCTTTATTAGCTCTGTAAAGATTAAAAGAAAAAAAAAAAACTCTTCAAGATCCATGCCCAAGTAAAAACTCTAATTTAAAAAAGAAAAATGTCCTATTTTAATCCCAAATTAACGATTACTAAATTTGTACTCCATGCTATTTTGCTAAATCCAGTTTGACACATCCAGCAATAAAAGCTCAATCTGGTGAATGTTGCAGTTCTTAACGGTAGCAGAGAAACTCAAAGCTTGACATATCAGAGCATCCCCAGTTTTTCTTTATTTCCCTTCCTTCAGACTCTTTCTAAATCCCCTGCCCACAGAGTGCTTTGTGAATGATTTACCTTAAAGCTAAAGAAGCTAAAGTTAGGGCTCTTAGCTTGTATGGGCACTTTTCTAATTTTGTATGTTTTTTGTTAAGAGGGAACTGCAAATTATATAAACTTCAGGCCCCCTCAAAACCTGGATCTGCTCCTATAATCAACAATCTTTGTCTCCCATCCCAAAGGTTCCTTATATGTTGGTCTTTACTTCATGAGTTGAGTGTAGATTTATTTCTGCAAGCCTTCTTTTTCATGATTTACCCCAGACATCTTTTTAGAAGACCTATCATGCAAAAACCAAGGTAGTAACATAAATGTTTAATCTAGAATCCCATCACCTCGACAGGTCTCCCATATTCTTTCTTCTGTGGCCCCTTCTAATTTTTGTCCACATGTCTACATAATTTTATTTGATAAATAAATAGTCTGTGATGAAATAAAGTGTTATCTTGCTAAACATGGCTCACTTTACAAAGTTGCATGTATCGCACCATGCCTATAGGCATCTGTTCAAACATGTACGATGTGGCTTCATCACAGCATTCAACAGACAGGGCAGTAGGAAAGGGTTAAAGCCAGGCACTTTCGTGGTACTTAGGGAAATGACCGGCTTCCAGTGTGCAGAAGGGTGGACAGAGGATGCTAAACTGGCAGGGCTGCATCTAATTTGTTCACCATTGTATGCTCTATGCTTCACACAGGGCCTGGCATTCAGTAAGTACTTATGTATCGACTGAAGGACTAATCCTGAACCTGACTGAACCAAAATTTTTTTTTTTTTTTGAGAAATGGAACAAAATCTTAGCAAATAGCAATTACCTTATTGTTTTCCATTAAAGTAGAATCCTGCCTCATTAATTAGTTGATTAACTAACCAAGTGTATATTAAGTACCTGCTATTACCAAACATATTGGATCACTTGGGATTAAGAAAGGGCCAAAGAATGAAAAATCTAGAGTGTGCTCTTTCCAATTCTTGTCCCAGTCTCGTACTTTATGGCCTGAGATAAGTAAGGAGAATGGAAAAAATTTTAATCTTTTAAAAGACAGCCTATTTTATCTTTGCAGAAGAGTTGGGAAATATAAGAAAATGACATTGGAAAAAAAATATACTTTACTTAAGAAAGGCAGAAAATTAAGAGCTCTTTATTGCCTTAAATGGCTCTAGAAGATTATGGCACCAAGCTCTGCCAGAAACTGGGCTACATTTATCTGAAGTGTCACATTCATTCTGAAATATTCTTAGAGGGAGAGGTCACAACAGTTTATTGTCTGAAAGTGATGGTCATTTTAGGTCTTAGTTAACATAAAATAGCATATACCTTTCTCCAGGATCAGAACACTAGGGAGGGCTCCTCAAGTCCTGATGTGACAGATGCAACAGTCACTTGAGTGACTTGAGTGACACATGCAAAGTCACTTGAGAAGTTTGACCCTGCAAAAGATGAATTTCAGCTTTTTTCTGCCCTGGGGTCAGTACTACTAGGCAATAGTATTTCTTGGCAAAATTCAATTAAACAAAGTCCCAGAGTTGTTTTTCTTCAAAATAATTTGATTTAATTTCTTCTTTTATATTAAAAAAAAAACACAACAAATAACATTTCAGAGAATACTGTTTAGGTTATGAAGTTCCCGTCAGAGCTGTTTTGCAACACATGTTTACATAATCTGAAGTGAAGTCGGCAGGGCGGTCCACTGTGAAGCTAGGGCTAGCCAGGCGGCCTTGTGCACATTTCACTTTGGATCACAAACTGATGCAGTGTTCTCTTGTTTAGTTGTCAACTAGACTGGGATTTTGTTTTGGACATTCGAACTGGGATGAGAAAAAAATCCACCACTATCAGATTGTAAAAAGCGATAGGTCAGTGCTTTGCAAAGAAAACATGCAGCATCAATATTTTCTGATCTTATCAAGGAGCTCAAACATTTGACCTGTTGAATACTGATAGTTAAATAAGTCAAGACTTTGGAGAGAAAATTTTGTAGAATCTTTGTTTGTACTGCACAATGTGCTACTAATTATTTCCCTTATTAATTGTGCTTTGCTGTCCGAGATTCACAGATGTGAGTAATGCAGTGTTAAAAAGGCAAAGAGGACAATAAATAGTATACAGAAGCAGTGAAACATTTCTCATAAAACTTAGAGGAAATTTGCCAAAATAAAAGCAATTACATTTTACAAGATCCCATATGATGGTGAATGTATCAAATATCTAATATTCTGGACAGTTATCAGAAGCATGAAAATGGCCTTCCCTGCTTCACCACTTTGCTTGCTTCTCTCATCAGCCCTCCCTGAGGATCCCAACTGGAAGGGATCTGTTTGTCTTTCTCTAACAGTCCCTTGCATTATAGGTAACTATATACATAGTTCCGTTACTAGATTATGATATGATATGAATGATGTTTTATACATCTTTGCATCCTCCAAAACACTGAACATAGATAGTTCAGTCAATTTCTTATGGAAATTAATTAAGTCAAAATACTGAAAAAATTTTTCCTAATGAACTCCAAGTAGAAACAAAAAAAACTCTTCTACCTCTACATATAGTAGCTGTATTGTTTGCAAAATATATTTAATGTAAATAAAATAAATATTTCCCTTTGATACAGCCCCTTTTTGTGGGTAAATTTATTCTTTACTCCAATACATTTTTGGGTGTGATGATGAAACTGATTTTGGATGATCATCTGTAGGTGTCAAATCTCAAAGGACATTTCTTTGTCTTTTCTGGTTTAGTATTAGCATACCACATATTCATCCAGAGCCTTTCTAAGGGAGACTTCTCTAAAAAACTTGTTTTTAATTTTATAACATCCTTAGTTGTGTGTTAAGCAACATAAATTCAAAGAAACTAAAGTTAACCACATCAGAGCAAAAAGTAAAATAAATTTAATTAGAAAATTCTAAGAGATGACAGTAGAGCAAGTCTAAAATTAATTATAATGGGATCTGAATGAGTTCATATCTCATCATACTAATGTGTGAGCCAGGACATATACACCCACACAAAGAGTTTCTGATCAAGCTAAATAACAGACCAGAGGAGTTGGTTTCATGAAAAGAAACTAAAGAAGGCAAAGTCATTCAGCATAAGTCCAAGGCAGGATTTTAGAAGTTCTAAATTATCAAGTCTTTTAAAGAAAACAAAATATGAATACACACACAGACACACATTGGTTTTTAGTTTGGTAAGTAATGCATTCATTGTCATATTCACTTTGAACATTAAATGGGCAAAAATATACCAAATCATTTTTCCACATGTCAAAATAATATTCAAGTATACTGAGAAGAGGCAATGAAATCTCATGTTTTTAAAGACGAGAGAGGCAACCAGGGATAAACAAGGATTAAGCCTAAAGGATCTCTCAAGGAGCTACCTAGCTTTTGATTCCTATGTCACTCACTGAACAAGACTCTGAAGTCAAAAAGATGCAGGGACACCCAAGCACGGAGAGACACGCTATCTCCATGCATCATATCCCTGTTCTAAGAGAGGTTAACACAAAGATCCAAACACCTAATGCAGAATTTTCTCATTAACCCAACTTCTGTCAACAGTTTTTGCTAACAAACACTTTCGAGGCTGTCTCTGTCAACCAATGTAACTAAGTTCGAAAGGCAATTTTAGTGCATATTAAGGTTTCTAGCGATAAAATGACATAAGATCTGAGATTGGCTTTAAACATTTCAGTGAAAAAGAAAAAAAGAGAATAGGTAAAGCGAATGTAGTTTTATAATTACTAAATCTAGGGAATGGGTATATGGGGAAGGGGTTAGCATATTATTTTTTTCCACTTCTGTGTATGCTTGAAAATTTTCATGACACTTCAAAAAAAAGAAGTTTAGGAAATATAGTTCATCAATATAGATATGTATCTATGGACTGGATTGAATGCTTTGCTGAAAGAAATTACGACTGGTCTAGAATCTGTAGCTCTTTACTAGATTAAAAAAAGGCTATTTCACCCATCTTTCTCAAAGGACAGAAATAACACAAATCTATACACCATCCTGGGATATGGGATGTATATTAACACAACATACTTTTTAGTGTTAGCCTAAAATTAGAGAAATCTAACTTTTTCAGAACACTGAGGCTGTGTTATATGGAAGACATGGATTTTCACACTGGTTTAGCTTTTAGTTTGAATGAAAAAGAGGAGACTATAAATTCCAATGATTCAGATTACCTAATCCTTTTCTTAGACACAAGGAGTTTGGGGGACAGGGGTGCGAATTGAACCTCTATCCTGCCAGTTACAGAAGTGGGCGTGGAGGTGGGGTAGGAGGGTGGGAGAGGTGGGGGAGTTGATGTCCTTCTGGAGGTCATATCTCAGACAGAATTAATCCTTTTCTGTAGTGATAAAACCACTTTTACCCCTCACTCTTCCTGGCCCCTTCTCCACTCCCTTCTCCCCTGCCTCATGTACCCTTCTCTGCCATGCTTCCTACATTCTTCCCCACTGGTCCTGTCATGGCATCCTACGCAATGCTCAAGGATCCAGAAAGCAAAAGACTCCCCGCCTCCCTATGGCCCCGTATCCATCTATGGGGAAAATCATATCTGTCCCTAGGCAAAATCTGGCTGGGGGAACTAGAATTTTGACCTAAGTCACTGGTACTGGATTAGAAACAAAAGAGAAGTCAGACAGCAACAAAACTCTTCTAGTTCATTTATTTTGCATAAATTTCATGACCTTGGGGCCTGTACTGACAAGGTTCCTTTCTCTTTTCCTCACTGGCCCCCCAACCCCTCTCTTTCTCTTTCTCTTTCGAATAGAGATTGAGGACATAGTTAAAAAATTAACTCTATTAACACTGATGTCATAGAGATTTCTTTTTAAAAATGAGGTATTTGGTTTACTGTCCCAAACAGTAAAGGTTTGGGCAAACTGCAAAAATGGTCTAGCAAGTAATAAAATGAAAGTGAATACAGTGACATAAAAAACAGAAATAGGATCTGGCAATACATTGCTGTGTGGCACCCTGAGAATCTATTGTAGCCAAAATAAACCCACCTATCTTATATATCTAAAACCAAAACACAGCATACATTTCTACTCAGAAAAGACAATGAAAATAAATAGGCGAGTAAATATGAAAAAGCTAGAGACCAAGATCATCCCCATGCTAATCAAAATTACTTATTTATAAATTGGATTACTATTTCCCTTGTTATCAAATTATCTTAGAAAAAAATTTAGAATTACAACATCAACAATATTTACAAGTGAATTTATGTGAAACTGTTGTCAAAGTTCAAAATACCATGAAAGATCTTGAGAAGATAGTTGAGTATTTCACATAAAAAACTGACTGATCAGGTTAGCCACGCCCAAAATGATGATGAAAACGTGAAAGATTAATTTGGGCCATGTCAGACGAAAACTTGGGGGAGAAATTATATAGGTGAGAGATGGATATATGAATACAAAGGCCAGGCCACATGCTGCTCCTGAATATCTGCAAAAAAAAAAAAGTTTTAGGGATAATATTCATTATAATATTAAGGATAAGTTTTAGGAATAATATTCATCAACAATATTATAATTGCATCTTGCTTTACAATTAAGGTAAATACAGTACAATTTAAATCTGCCTCAGTTTGATATAATGAAATTATTTTTGATTCATTTGTTATTGACTTAAAGCATTTGAATTTAAAATATTTTACTTGCTCATTTAATATAAAATATTATTTCCTGTTCATTTTTATGGCATCTGCTTGACAGAGAGATTTTTTTTTTTAATTTTTATAAGATTTTATTTAAGTCAAATTGATGACTTTGCCAGGAAGCAAGATCTCAAATGCTCTCAACAAAGGGATTTTTATTCATCTCTCAAATCTCCATAGTTCTTGAGTCTCCGTGATTGTGGCTACTTCCTCAGAAACATCTGGAGATAGGCTTTCTATCTTTGATCTCTTATAAACTAATTATGCATTCTGAGTTTCTGAAGGACTGCTAGCATCTGCTTAAGAATGAGAACAGATGAGCGCCTTTCTGGCATTGAGGACAGTTACAAAAGATAATAAGAAAAATACCTAAACTTGAGACTCACAGAGGAACCTGCACTTTCTCTTCCTTTTCCCTATCCTCAGTTTTCTTGAGGAATGGTTTGATAGTGGACTTAACTTGTAAGTCCATCCTATTCAACAAGCATCAGACTTAATCTCCCCTTTTGTTTCTTGCTTAGGTAAGGCTCTTCAAAAAAAGTGACTCGGCCCTGTTTTCTATAGGTTAAATATGAGAAATCAGATCATTCTGAACCCCAGTGTTCCATGAGAATCTGAAGTCACAACTTTATTTCCAATCTACTCAACCTATCCCAATGTTTTTGGAAAAAGGATATCAAGGAAAGAGCCATCTGGGCTATAAACTCTTAGCTAAACTTTTACTTTGTGACTACAATTGACACTGAAATATGTTCTTGAGTAGAAATGGATTAAGAAAGTTAGGACATAGCCTTGACATATAAGAGACTTCCCAGATATCCAAGAAGTTATATATTATATATTAAAAATTACTTTTTATTTTGGATAAGGAGAAAGGAATACATTAGAAAATAATGAGAAAAAGAAAAAGACATAGGTGCCTAAAGCTAAGGGATAATAGAGTTTCTAGAGTTAGAAATAAGCAGAAATGAAAGATAATGAGCATCTTAACTGATACCACGGAACTATATTTGAATGTTACTGGTTTTAAACACTGAAATTTCATACAATTAAATTAAAACAACAACAACAACAACAACAACAACAACAACAACAACAGAGAAGCAGCAGCAGCAGCAGGAAAAGCATGAAATGACTATATGAAGGAACACAGTTCCCTTACAGACAGTACCTTATGATTCCTCCTATGTTTGGGTAGAAACAGGCCATGATCACTCCAGCTCCCACAATAATTAGATTAAGAATCAACACATGGAAAATGCTACAAGTTGAGGAGACAGATTGGAGGAAAGAAAAAAAAAAAACAGGCAAATTATAACCATTAACACGAGAATAAAATTCATTATTAACATCTTTAAAATGAGAATGTCTTAAACTTGAAAATAAAATCACAGCAAAAATAAAAGGTGACAATAGTAGTCAATGCTGGTGATGGGACACTTGCCATTTTGTGCATTTATTTAAATAGGTTAAGTTTTATAGGAGCAAACTTGTAATGTGTATCAGAGTTCATACTTTTTGATCCATAGTTTCACATGGAACATCTTAAGAAAATAATCAAATAAAAAAAAAGCTATTACCATATAAATATTTACAGAACAGAAGTATTCCAGATATATAGCAAGGTAATAATTGATGGAATATATTAAAAATTATTAAAAATACTTATCATTATTACCTTGATGGTAAAAATCCACCAAGGCAAGTTGGAAAAAAGCTAGTTAGATTTTTACTACACTAAATCTGAAAACATTAAAAAATGTATCAGAAGGAAATACACAAAAAGGCAGTAGTGATTGTGTTAAGATTTGGGATTTTGGGTAATTTTTCTTCTTTTCTATATTTAACAAATTTTCTACATTATATAATATTTTTAGAAAGTGTTTATTTTGCCTTTATAATTAGAAAAATAAATTATATTAAGGAACAGGCAAAATGGGCAATTTTTTATTTTTCAGATTCAGCCACTTAAAGATATTCACTATTTACCATGAATAGAATATTTACTAAATATTTGAATTAGATGTTAACAATTCAAGGTCTGGGAATCAATCTGGACACACAAAAAATAATGTAGATGAACTCTGATGCTCAAGAAATAACTCCATTTCCCAAAAGCATGATTCTTAAATTGACACAGGAAAGCAACTCTTGAGTCTAAGTTATTAGAGGTTAATCAATCCCAGATAAAGATTACAAAGAGAATTAAAAATAAGAAAAATATTTTACACAAATAAGTGGTTAGTCATTCACATCTTGATGAATTACAAAGATATTCAGCTTCCAGATCTTACATTTATCCAGAAACTCCAACCTTAAAATTGCTTCAGAGCTTTGAAACATTAGTTGGGCTTTTGTTATTTTTGTATCGTAAAAGCAAACAACTTTGTGTATTTTCCAAAGTAGTGGTTCTTAAAGTGTAACCGCAAACCCTAGAAAATACTCCAATACTCCTTCAGGAAGTTCCTGAGGTCGAAATTATTTTAATAATCATACAAGACATTACTTGCTTTGCAAATGCAATGGTGGGCAAAACTGCTGGCCCCTTAGCATGGACAGAGGTAGTAGCAGCACCTGTCTGTATTCTCTACACTGTATTCTTTCGTGCCAAACACTCTAAAAAAAGTTTTATTAAAAATCGTTCTTGATAAAGAAGTAAAAATTACTAGTTGTATTAAATCTCATGCCTGGAACACATTTCTTTTTAATGTTCTGTGTGATCAAATAGGACTACATAATAAAGTACATCTGCTGCATACCGAAGTATGATGGTTATCTTGAGGAAAAGCACTCGTAACTGAGTGAGAAAGCAACCTAGCCCTTCGCCCCAAAGAACACTGTTTTTACTTGAAGAGCAGACAAACTATATGGTCCTTCAGTCTTGGGTATTTGACATTTTCTTGAAAATGAATGGTTTGAACTTGTCATCTCAAGGAAAACAACTAGTAGTATGTGTTGTCAATGATAAAACTTGAGCTTTCAACTCAAAATTAGACTTTTGGAGAGCTTGTATTTGCCACTCTGAGTTTGACAGTTTTCCAATATTTAAAGACTTATTAGTAAAGTCGATGGTGATATTAACAATGCGTGTTCTGATACCATATAATGAAGTGTGTCAACATTTGGAAGAACTGCAGAACTCAGTGAACCAGTATATTACAAATGACTAAACATGATGTTACAAAATCAAGCATGGTAAAAAATCCAAAGTGTAAGATAGAGCAATGGTTTTTTTTTTAATGTAACTGAGTTTCAGATTCAACTAACTTTTAAGAAACTACCACTTGTCAAGGTTGGGCATAGTATCAAAGAACATCTAAATTATCTGAAAAAGCTACTAAGAGTACTCCTTTTTCTAACTACCTGTCTATGTGAGGCTGTATTTTCTTCATATATTTAAATGAAAATAACATATTGCAACAGTTTGAATGCAGAAGAAGATAGGAGAATCCAGTTATCTACTAGGTAATCAGACATTGAAGAGTTTTGAAAATATAAAGCAAAAGTTATTTGGGAGAGAGTTATTCTTCGTAAACATGTTATTTATATTAAAGGCAATGGTTTTATTATTGCTTTTAAATAAATTAATACATAGCTTTTAAATTCTGTTTAAATTTTTTATATGTTAAATATTGATAGATACAACGTATATAAACCAAAGTTCTTGGGGATCCTCAATATTAAAAAGTGTAAAGGGGTCCCGAGGCCAAAAAGTATGCTCCAAAGAACATAGTCTGTGGAATACTTGTAACTGTAGGATAAATGATAGAGTGTTCTTAGTGGTAGGGGAAGAAATGTAATGTGAACACAAGGGAAATTCCAGACTTTTTCCAAGTGGAAAAAACATTCTAACAGCCAACATTATGCAAAATAATGGCAGAAAACTGAAATAATGCATTTACCTAGAATATTTTTTCATCTATGACTTCACTGTATCCATTTTATTTTGGTGAATGTAACTACAGCAAGAGTATAAACACGACAGGCATCTTATATTTACTGAAATCCGATCTTCCAGATGAGCAACGCCAACGCCGTAGCTCCTGCTATGGTCAGTGCTAAAAACCTGCTAAATATTGACTTATGTTTTTAAAAGTTTATGGCTTTTAAACCAACATATTGATAACTAATTATTTATTTAATGGGGGACAGACTGCATCTGTTCACTTCAAACCACAGTGATTAAGACCACTTGTTTGTTGGTTACTGAAAATGTAAGTTTTTTCAAATTGTATCCAAAAGTTTTCTTCATTTAAGATCATTTACTCCCAATAAAATAGGTAAGGACTAGGTACTTTTTATTAGGATGAATCTAAAATAAAACTGAATGTAAGAGTAGGAGTTAATCAAGGGTCCACAAGGAAGTTTCAGGAAAATGCTAAAGCAGCTTATAGACATTTCTCTTGGATGAAGGTAACTAATTTTGAATAGATTTTCAAAAGGACTCACAGCTCCTCCATCATCAATCAGAGGTTAAAAATTACAGCAGTAGTTACAGAAATAAATAAGAATTTAAACTTGTTATGTATCTTACCTTCAATTATAAACAACTATCATTTATGTAAAAGTGCGTGAATATTAATATATAAGGAAATATCAATAACTAATAATTAAAATAAAAGAGTTTATTCTCATTAGCCATACACTGCTAACACATATATTATTAACTTTTTGGCAATGTGTAGATTAATAGCAAATAAATCATAAGATAAATATAACTGGTATTAGACCTAATATAACTATACTAGAAGGAACTGACTTTAAATCATTCCGGACAAGGCAGTGTCTTCTATTTTTAAAGCTCTTCAGGGAAAAGGACACTAATGTTCCATCCTTAGCAACCATTACATTAGGCAAATTTTTATAGCAAAAGGATCAGTCACATTTTAAACTGACCTGTTTGCACAGTCATTTGTTGCTTGGCACATCTTGCTGGTCAAGAGAAGAGCCCTTACCTAGGATAAACGTCACCGAAGATGTGGCCCAACAGCTGGACACGAGCCAAGTAGCCTAGGAGTGGGTAGACGGTCATCATCTGGAATAGCAGGAATATCCTTGCAATGAAGGACAGGATGTCACTGCTCGGAAAGTTGTCTAAAAAATTCTAATCCAAGAAAGAAAATGAAGTAATGTTAAAAATTGAATCTAATATATACAGATTTATAACATAAGTGCCACTCAAATTGTAGTTTGTGGCCTGCTGCCTGTCCAGGAACTATTAACTATTATTGTTCAATGAGCCAAGTATAGAAATTGAAAGTAAGTGTTTAGAAACTTTTATAGAAATGTAACATTGCAATACTTTTATTCTATTTTACAGAAGTATCGGCCTATAATTGATTTGACTTTAAAACAATGACAAAGAACACTTTGTCCTTCACCGTAGCTAGTTTAAGAAGCACCACTCTATAAGGTTCAAGCATAGATTTGTTTCAATATATTTAAATGGCTGATTTAGCTCAATGTTATTTCATCCTCACTAGCTCTCTTGCTTTCTCTCTACTGAAGCCCTGCAGCACTTTCAAAGTCAAAATTACAGAACGAAGTGAGAGTATATCTGTTACCTAGTATCAGTTTTATTTACATTATTTACAGTCTCTCACTAAATAGAAAAGGATTTATTTCTATTTCTTTTCATGATTCTTTTCTCCATTTTAGTTTGGCATCTAAAACAATAATCACCCATTCCCCACTCCACCTCCCTTTCAAGTATGAATACCACAGATATTCCTATTCCCAAGGGAGTGGCTTTATATGGGATTGTTCACATCAGGGAAATTTTCAGCAAATGATTGGTTGCCAAAATAGTTCTGGAATCAAGGACATCAAGAGAAGAACATTTCAAGCTATCATAACAGCAGTAACCAAACCCACTTCTCTTACAAAGATGAGAACATTATTAAAGGTATTATGCTGAAATAATATTTATAATTCATCTGTAATAAATCATATTGTATATTCTACTCTAAGAGAAATTTCTTTCTGACCAGAAAGAAAGACACCTGTGAAATGCTATTTTTTGTGAAAAATTCTACAGTCACATTCAACTACAGACTGTACCATACCTAAGTTTATGATGGGTCAAATCAAAGAAAATATTACTTATAGCAACCTTTTAGTAAAAGAAAACAGTTTCTTTTATTCTGTCTCTCCCTTTGTCTTTTTTAACAGCTGAATAGACTATCTTTGTTTTGCTATCTGCCATGCAGTACCAAAGTGGATGTTAGACCTGTCATTAGAAACTGTTGAACTGAGATGCTAATTTATACAGGACATTCGTAGATCTGGGCTTTGAAAAATAAGGGAGTTGAATGTATTATCTGTGGAGGTTTTATAATTTCATGACTACTATTAGTGAAAATGAACACAAAGAAACACAAATCCACACAAAGAGATATACTATATATATAATAGGAATCATTCATTTGAGTATCCCAAGGTGACAGCATGAGGTAGGTTTTCTCAGAGAGTCCATCTAAAAATCTATTCTACTAAATGGAAGAGGAAACTGAAGTTCAGAAAGCATGGGGAAGGTGCCTAAATTCCCACATGTAGAATAAAAAGTAGAGAAGGTATCCAAATCTGGTCCTGTCTGCTATTATATCTTGCTACAGTATCTCCATGCCTGCTCTGCCAATATGAGGGTGGAGACAATGACAGAGAGAGGTTACATGTGCCTTACCTGTTCTATACACTCCTTGGGTAACGGTGGTGAAGGAAATGAAGCAAAAACCAGGATTCCGATATAGAGATAAGTTAATGTCACCAACATGTAAGCAATGGACAAGTCCCTCACCTGTAAATAGGGAATAAAATTCTCACAATACTGAATAAATTTATAGTAGGTCTGCCTGAATAGGCTAAATAAGAAGACTGACAATACAAGATTTACCTTTTTGCTCTGTGTGTGTGTATGTAGCTTCTAGGTATCCCATTTTTCACAGAAAAAAATTGAAACAAAATTCACACACTTTACAATTAGTCTTTTTTTTTTTTTTTTTTAGACTATTCTGGAGTATGTAGACTAAGCTACCTATTGGTAGACTTAGGAAATTAACATAAATGGTGGTTTAACATGATTGAAACTCTAACTTAATTTCAAAAAGTAATTTATTTACCAAATTTATAAAATATTTAACTAAAACAATAAAGCTAAGGGACAACAAGAAAGAATAAGCCACCTTCTGTATGACCTACATAATTAAAAAATTTTTTCTTGTAGTAAATTAACTTAAATCATCAAAGCATGCCTACACCCAAAGAGACTGGTACATAATAAAATATATTAAATAAAGAAGAAAAGCTAGTTAAAGAACAGACAGTAAGTTGGTATTAAAGACAAGCTTAATAAACCTAAACAGTAAACAAAACGAAATTAAAAGGCAGCTGTTGAAACAGCTGCACAATGTTATTATTGGAATCAGTAAACAAATGTAGAACATTAAATAGAGTGGATTGCTTTCTTCTACTGCTGTTCCCTCCCTCTGAACCTATCATTCCCATGCAAAGTAAAAAGCTCCAAGATATTTAATGCAGCCAGCTGTCAGATCCAAACAGAACAGATCCCACAGTTCACAAATCTGGTCTCCATCACCATTAAAGTTACAGCCAAACAATTCAGCACAACTAAATTATGGCAATAAGCCAATTCATTTTTCATTTTAAACACAAATTATTTGAAAGCTAAGAAAACATATAAGAAAAAATTATATATAATTTTATTTTAGTTTAATAACACAATAAGAAAACTGGACATTTGGTATTAGGGGTCATTTCTGATTTTTTGGACAACTTCCCTCCTTAAATGGGCTAAAGCAATAGCAGAGAGTTATAAACTTGAGTGTTGATAAATTCATTTAAAAAGCAAGTAACAAGCTATGAGAAATCCTAAAATCGGGTCTAAGTTGACAATTAGCCTGAAAACAAACCAGAGAGTCCTTAATTAATGATGGGTAGACCTATGGAGCTATAGGAACCTGAATTATGCAAGAGCTTCTAATTATTTAGGGCTGAGGACCAACCTCCATGGGAGTTTCAAAGTTTTCCTCTTTAATTCATGAAGCTCTAGGGCCCATCTCAGACAAGACTTCAGTCACCGCTAAGGTTGCTCATTGTCTTGTGTAGGATGAACAGAAATGAACAGGCAACTCTAATTTTCATATCAAAGGGTAGTAATCTCCAACTATGTTTCAAAGTCATTCTCCCCAGAACCTTCTCAATGCCACTCAAGAACAAGGTAATCTTGTAAAATACAAAATTTTGGAGGCTAAAACAGTGTGTCAGAGACAGTTATATATAAAAAGGGAAAATTACCATTTTATGGACAGTCTTTAAATTGTATACTACCTGATCACCACGTTATTTTGGTCAGGCTTCCTGCAAAGATGTGTACCTTAACAAACTTTGGGGAAAACTCTGATGAAGATGAACGGTCTAAGATGTAAGGGTTTCACAATATAACAGGGTTTCCCTGTTCTTATAGCGCCGTATACATATCTCAAATACAGCATGACAATTATCATTAATTTTTATTATAAAGGTAATCCATATTCATGACACAAAGAATCTCAAGTGGAAAAAAAAGTCCCTTGACAACCATAAAGTAGCCATGGTTAATAGTTCTTTGTTATATTGGTATTTTAATTATTCTATGTTTAAATTGGTCTATACCACTAGACTATGCGATCTCTGAAGACCCTGGCTGTGTCTTTTTTTATCTTTATATCCCAATACTTAGGCAATGCCTGGCACACAGTAGGAACTCAGTAAATGTAGATAAAAAATAATAACTACATTGGCTACAATTAGTAGATGCTTCTAAGTGCTAGGCTCCTTGCTAAACACAGTACATGGATTATCTCATTTAATGTAGGTGCAAGTTTTTTCTCCATTTTATAGATGAGTGAACTAGTGCAACAAGTTACAAAACTTGTTCATGGTTACAAAGTGAGTAGCTGGTGAAGTCAATATTCAAACCAAAGTCTTTCTGGCTCCAAATTCAATGCCCTTAGCTACTATGATGGAGAACTGACTAGTCTCTAATTCATTTGTGTCAGTTAATAGACAACAATCAAGAAAACAATAAAAGAGAGGTAACAAGTTATAAATAACAAAGGATACAATCAAGTACACACATAGATGTAAGAGAAATACTGAAATAAGAAAAGTTCTACTTCACAGTAGTCCAAATGTACATTCAGTAGAAATAGGGCAAGAATTGCATATCTGTTTTTGTCTGAAAATACTCTAATGAATAGAAATGCTGTTTTAATACAAAAGCAGCTGAGGTTTAGCACGATCCTGGGAAATATGCCACCTATGAATAGCATGCACACATGTGGGTTTTGCTATTCTCTAGCTTGAACAGAAGCCATCACTGTACTAGGCCAGGGCACAGAGCCTCTTAAAAGCTCGTTTAATGGAAAAATGTTAGAAAAAGCTATCTTTTACAAAATGAGGCTCAATGTAAAAATATATATTTAAAAAGAGGCACAAGTGACAATATGAACTGGTAATGTGTCAAGAATCCTACACATTAACAAGGTAACCTACTCTGCCTCATGAATAAGCAATGACTGGCAGGGCTGGTAGCGAACTAATGACAGGAACAACGCCAACAGAAAGAGGACTGGGTTTACAATGGGGCACAAGTGGGTCTGGGAGCACGTTCTATTTCTCAAATATGATTTATAATTTGTTCCACATACCATTCATAGTGAAAATACTACCCAGTGGAGCATTAACTAACAAAAATGACAGAAACTGACCACACAGACCTACTCCAAACATTTACATAAAACTTCTGCTGATGTATAGCCAAGTAAACTACACAGATTCATATGAAGATGCAAAAAGTAAACAACAAATTAAGATATAAAGCATTTCAATGTGTGAATCAGATCAATTCTCTCTCCTGCCAGAAAAGCATCTCTATTTAAGAATTTTAGGGAGCAAAACTTAAACACAAACAGTCCTCTCTTTGCATGGGAGTATGAGACTAAAAATGCTTGGACATCTCTTTGAGGAAGATGTGGTTGCAGCTGCAGCTCTCCCACTCCTGCTCCACTTCTGCCTCAGGGCTGTTTGCACCGCAGCCATGGCTTACGGATACTGGAAAGACACCCATAAAACCAGAGGTGGCCATTCACCAAATAAGATCATCCTAAACAGCCACAAGGTAAAATTCCCTGGAGAAGGGGTGTGCTGATTTGATCAGAGACACGAAGGAAATAAATCTCAACTTGTCACCCAAAGTGAAAGGACCAGTACGGATGCCTACCAAGACTTTGAGAGCCACTACGAGAAAAACTCCTTGTGGTGAAAGTTCTAAGACACTAAGATTTTCCAAAGTCGGTTCCAGATGAAGATCCACAAGCCACTCAATGACATGCACAGTTCTTCAGAGATTAAGCAGATCATTTCCATCACTATTAAGTGGTTGAAGTCACCATTGCAGATGCTTATATAAACTATTTTAATAAACTGATTACCAAGTGTTAAAAAAATGACTGCAACACAATCATAATAATCAATGGGAAAAATTATGATTGTTCTGTGATCTTTACCAATATTTGTCAAAACATTAAAAACTGTCAGTTACAAATGTGTAAGAAAATTAAAAAAACAGTAAACTTGATATTTATTTAGTATATTAATATAAAACACCAGAAACATTGAGCATTAAACTGTTTTATTTCTTTGTCAAAACTTACAGAGTAGTTTGGACTGTTCCCCCCGCCATGGCATAATTATAATTTAGAGCAAGCATCTTTTTCATGCCTTGGTAAACTGTCATATTCATTTCTTTTAAGTCTGCATCAGCTTCCAACATTTCATCCTTTGTGCTTTCAATGTGAAGTATTCTTTCAATGGGAACTTTAGTGGGAAGTTTCAGTGTCACTTCCTCTGAAACATCTTCATTGTTTTCATCACAACCACCTTCCTTGTTCATGTTGATAACTTCACCTTCCCTAAGTTCTTCTGGATGTACATCTAGTCTCTCAAATGGCAGCAGTGTCAACATTTCCACAATCAGATATTTCTTTTATGATTCCATTTGTTTGATTAAAGTTTCATTTCCAGTGTTATCACTCTTTATTTTATTGTTGCACTTTCACCTTTGTCAATTCCCTCTTTCAATTCTCCATTTTTATACATATCACATGCGCTTACCACTGGGAGACAAGGAAGCAACTCAACCATCCACTTTTCAGTCTGAGTGTAAAGTAAATAACAGATGCATAGTGACCAATCACTGACAGACTTTGAAGGAAGTGACAGGATTACTAACTAATTGGGATGTGCATCTGTTATTTATGTAGCGATCTGTGAACTGAAGGGCTGGTAGCTACTACTTAAAGCAAATACTCATAGTTCCAATCCTGTCGTGACTGAAATTTGAACCATGTTGTTAGGGGGAACTGATGTAATTTAACTAAACCATAGTCATTAAAATTCATGCATATAGGAACTGTTCAAAATGAGGACTGCCTGTAATTTAACTCATCATTTTAAGACTATTTCTAGTAAGACAAATCATGAGTACAATAAAAATATACATGAGTGTTTAAGATAAAATATGAGACTTCATTAAAATTGTGTTGTTCGCTCCCAGATTCCCAGGTCTACAAGGGGTTCTCCTCTGTTGTTAAAGAGACTTTGGTGGTAAAGTTTGAGAAGCCCAGCCTCATGGATAGAATGATCCACTGCATGAGAATCCTTCTTCATAAAATGGGTTTCTAGGGTATTTGGTCTAAGTTGGCATATGAGAGCAGTTGATTAGGATAAACAGGTTACTTAGTTGGTACCAAAGTATACACTATTAATGACATATAACTATCCCTGTGAAGATGAAATAGATATTTTTCATATATCTCTCTAAACTTCCTAAAACTTGAAGTAGACAGCTTAGTTCAAGCGGCAATGAGTCAGAGAATTTGTGAAGGAGGAGAGAAGGATTTAAAAATAAAGGACAGTAAGCATATCCTCAGTTTCCCTTTATAGCCTAAAGTTCCAAATGTTTATCTAGGATAAGTGACATTTTCTTCCTATTTTCTCAAAAGATTTAAAACTGTTGATGGCAAAAATATAAGTACAATAAGACTAAACATTTCTTATAGTAGACAATTTGGTGACAGAAAAAGGGGAGGGAAGTTTGGGGGATGGGAGAATGGAGCGAAGGGTTAAAGAAGTACAAATTAGTAGTTGATAGTTGGGCACGGGAATGGGGAGCATGGCAGAGGGAATGCAGTTAGCATTAATATGATGCTAGGAGCAATTGGGCGGATTGTTTTATGAACTATGTAGATTTCTAACTATTGTACTGTATACTGGAAACTAATTTAAATAAATAAATTAAAAAAAAATAAAAAGACTAAACATTTCTAAGATAAAAACTAAATCTAAAGTGGGAAGGAAGATACAAACTCTAAAAACACATTTTTGCCTTAGAAAAAGTGTAGCAAATGATAAGAGAACTCAATCCTTAAGTTTTCCAAATGGCAGAAAGAAACAAAAAGAGTTATATAACCCTTATTATCAAATAATAAGAATAAATTCATTGAGAAACTTCCCTAGACTTGAACACAGAGAAAATATCTCTCTATAGCCTTTCTATAAAGTATGGTGAGCACTTTAAAGAAGAATATCCAAATTATAGATCTTATAAAACAATGAAACAAAATTCTACACATGGCTTTCTTATATTACCATGAGAAGCTAGTTTTAACATGAAAACCTAGTGTGGTGATGAGAGAAGAGAGAGGAAGAATTGAGGTGGTTCAATTATGGATTTTCCTGGGAATCTAACTAACTTATTAACATCATAGGAAGAAATGTTGGAGAAGAGTTAATATGTTCTCATTGTGATAAGTTTAAAGGCACTAGAAAGAATCTGAAGGGGAAGACAGTCTCTCCTGTTAACAGAAAGATCCACAGTCTAAGTGTCAGGAGAGAAAGGGTAATAGATAAAACTAAGAAAGTCCAGCCTCTACTATACGTGAGATCATGTTAAACACTTTTCCTACTTTGTAATATTTAATTATGATTAAAACCCTGAGAGGCCTGTGTCAAATAATACTACTATTTCATAGGAAGAAAATAAAATTTGAAGGTCACCAAGTTAGGAAATTTGGTAAATGCAGATTTACTCGATTCCAACTTCATTCACAGGTAATATGTCACATGAATGTTACCAGGTAACAGAAAAAATGAAAATAAAAGAGCCTGACCTATATTCTTGCCCTAATTTGAGAGCTAACTTCCTTCCACTTAGAAAGATTTTTGCCTTCTTAATGACTCTGCCAAACATTACTTGAAATCTTCTCAGAATCCCCAGGCACAGCAAACTCTTTCTTTTTTGGTATTTCAGTAACAATTGTATAGACCTCTATTAGAACTTCATCATAATTTTTGGTTACATGGTTAGATGCTATCAAATTGAGTTCAAAATCTGCAGACAAGGTCACAAGTAACTGGTTAACTTCTGCTTGCTTTGGGTTTAGTTTGCTCTTCTTTTTCCAGTATGTTAAGGTAGAAGATTAGATTATTGATTTAAGACCTTTCTTCTTGTTTAATGTAGCTATAAATTTCCCCCCAAGCACTGCTTTAGCTGCATCCTATTAGTTTTGTTATGTTGTCTTCATTTTCAGTAATCTCACAGTATTTTCTATTTTTTTCTTGTAATTTCTTCTTTGGCCCATTGGTTATTTAGGAATAAGTTGTTTAATTTCCACATGTTTGTCAATTTTCCAAATTTCTTTCATTATCGATTTCTAACTTCACTGTGGCCAAAGAAACATTTGGTATGATTTCAATCCTCTTATATTTATTGAGACTTGTTCGATGACTCTGCAAATGGTCTATCTTGGTAAATGTTCCATGTGCATTTGAAAAGAATATGCATTCTGCTGTTTGAGAGAAGACTTTTATTAATGCCAATTAGATCAAGTAGGTTATAGTTTTTCATGTTTTCTATATTCTTACTTATTTTCTATTTGTTCTATCATTATTAAGGGAGAGGTCATGAAATCTTCGATTATAATTGTGAATTTATTTACTTCTCTTTTCAGTTTTGACAGCTGCTGCTTCATTTATTTAGAACCTCTGTCATTTGGGTGCACATATTTAGAATTATTATGTCTTCTTGATGAATTGATCCCTAAAAGTCATTATGTAATGTTCCCCTTTATCTTGGCGATACTCCTCATTTTGAAGTTTAGTATGACATTAAAACAGCCACTCTACCTTTCTTATATTTAGTGCCTTTATGGTATTATCTTTATATTGAAAGTAAGTTTCCTGTAGATAGTATATGGTTAGGTTTTTTTTTTTTTATTAATCAGTCTGACAATCCCTATCTTTTAATTGCATTATTTAGATCATTTTGAAATTAAGTAGTTGTCAATATTACTGGGTTTAAATCTATTATCTTGCTATTTGTTTTCTATTTGTCCCATCTATTCTTTGTTTTCTTTTTCCTGTCTTTTTAGCTCACTTAGATATTTTTAAAGATTTTATCACCACTATTGGCTATTCACCACGCCTCTTTATTTTTTTAGTGATTGCTCTACAGCAGGGATTGGCAAACTATGGCCTATAGGTGAAATCTGACCAACTGTTTGTTTTGGTAAAGTTTTCTTGAAAAATAGCCAGGACCATTTGTTTACATATCATCTATGGCTACCTTATGCCATAAGAGCAGAGTTGGGTAGTTGTAACAAAGACCATGTAGCCTGCAAGGCCTAAAATATTTATCATCAGAACCTTTACAGAAAAAGTTTGATGACCACTGCTCTATGATTTAAATTTAAAAATTACGGTCCAGTAAGGAAAATCATTTCCTCGAGGTAATTACTCACATTGTTTTCTTGGTTCTTGTTGTTCTTTAAGAGTGTGATAATACAGTTATGAATAAAGAAAGCAAGGGTAAGCACTCCAGTCAGCTGTGGAAACTGAAATCTTATTTCTAGGAGAAAAAGAGAAGGGAAAAAAAAACCCATTAAAATTGACAATGAATATTAGTAGCCAAAAGCTGATGACTAAAAACCTGTTGCCTGTTTGGTCCAGGGAAAAATATTAAAATGTCTTTACAAAGTTCCTCAAGGCTAGCATTATACTTGAGCACAGTACTTGAAAAGAGAAAGAAAAGGAATCAAGAAATGACTATTCTGTGAGGGTACTTTACATTAGTTATTCCTGTTTGAGGCCACTTTACTAGTATGTGGCAGAGCAGGATTCAAATTCAGGGTCTGTCTGACTCTAAAATTTCTTGTCTTCTAATACTAGAATTTGCCAGAAAAATACCTTTAAAAAAAGAATTAGGGAAAGGAGAATTAGCAATTTAACATTTTTTAATGGCAATGTTAAAAAGCATTGCTTAAAAATACTGTACATAACTTAAATGTCTATATTGAGGGGAATGGCTAAACTATGATACAGTTGCTCAGTGGTATACAGTAAGTTATGTAAGAATTATGCTCCAGAGAAAGATTTTATGCTCTTGCAAATGTTCATGATTCATATATTATGTATAGCATGGTTTTATTTTTATTTTTTAAAGTATGTATGTGTATGAAAAGAAAAAACTGAAGGAATATCCAAAAGTGTAAATTGGTTATCTCTGGCTAACCACTGGAATTTATTTCAAATCAACCAGTTACCTATATTCTCTAAATTTTTTGCAATAAACATAAAATTACTTTGAGATAAGAATAATAAAGTAATATATACTTATAAGCACTGCCAAATTATGTCTTGAGGTCTGCTAATATAAAAATTTAAAAAATTGCTTTTATGTAGACTAAAACCATGATTTACTTGGAAACGATGATGGATCTAGATGAAATAGGTGATAAAGTAGAGAACAACCCATCCCAGAGGATTCCTTAGTATAAAAAGCAGAAATGAGAAAATGAAGCCCACTGACTTTTTGCCATAATATTTTAGGAAAAGAAGTGAGAACAACTAAGAATCAAGCACTAGCTCTAAAAGAAATCAGAAGATCAAAAAAATTATATACTTTTGTTTTCCATCAAGTTTTTTGTTTGTCTATTAGCTTTTATCTGAATTTTTATCTGTGAAGCAATTCAAAGTGTTATCTTTCTTAGGAAAAGTCTCCCCTTTTCTGTCTATAATATTTTACATTTATACATCTCAGCAACAAAATAAAATGTGGAGGCAAGTCCCACTTCTGTTTTTATTTTTATAAAAATCTCTTAATAAATTGAGAATAGAAGGATATTTTCTTAACAAGAAAAAGACTGATTACTTTAGATCCACAGTCAGAATTATAATTACATAATTATAATAGAGGCACCAATTTTGGAAAGATGATAACATTATTATTTACATATGACATTATTTGCAGATAGTCTTTGCAAAAAAAGCAACTGGAACACTCTTTAGTAAGAATTAGAAGTCATCAAATCACAAAGGGAGAACACAAGAAAGGAATTACAAAACAACCAGGAATCAATTAACGAAATGGCAATGGTAAATCCATACCTATCAATAATTACTTCAACTGTAAATGGACTAAATTCTCCAATCAAAAGACACAGAGTGGCTGAATGGAAAAAATTACAAGACCCAACTAGATGCTGCCTACAAGAAACTTAATTCAGCTTTAAGAATACACATAGACTGATAGTGAAGAGATGGAAAAGATATTCCATGCAAATGGAAGCCAAAAAAAAATGCAGGGCTCTACTTATATCAGACAAAATAGACTTTAAGCCCAAGATTGTAACAAGAGACAAAGAAAGTCATTATATAATGATAAAGGGATCAATTCATCAAGAGGATATAACATTTGTAAGAACTTATGCTTTCAACATGGGAACACTTAAATATATAAAGCAAATATTAACAGATCTAAAGGAAGAAATAGATATCAACACAATAATAGTAGGGGACTTCAACACCACATTTGTAAGAGTGGATAAATTATCCAGACAGAAAATCAGTAAGGAAACATTGGACATTGTCAGAATAGTGCATCCAACAGCACCAGAATGCACATTTTTCTAAAGTATACATGAAACATTCTCTAGGATAGATCATATGTTAGGTCACAAGACAAGTCTTAATAATTTAAGATCAAAATCATATACAACATCTTTTCCAGCCACAATGGTACAAAACTAGAAATCAATTACAAGAAAACTGGAAAATTCACAAATATATAGAAATTAAACAACATGCTACTAACCAAGTCAAAGGGGAAATCAATAAATATCTTGAGACAAATGAAAATGGAAACACAACCTAGCAGAACTTAAGGGATACAGCAAAAACAGTTCTATGAAGGAAGTTTATAGCAATAAATGCCTACGTTAAGAAAAAAGAACAACCTCAAATGAACAACAAAGAAACTAGAAAAAAAAAGCAAACCAAGCCCAAATTAGTAAAAGGAAGGAAATAACAAAGATCAGAGTAAAACTAAATGAAATCGAGACAAAAAAGACAATAAAAAAAGATCAATGAAACTAAGAGCTGGTTCTTTGAAAAGATAAAATTGACAAACCTTTAGCTCAATTAACCAAGAAAAAAAGAGAGAGGACTCAAATAAGTAAAATTATAAGTAAGAAACAACACAGCTAATACCACAGAAATACAAAGGATCATAAAAGACTATTGTGAACAATTATACATCAACAAATTGGACAACCTGGAAGAAATGGATAAATAACTAGAAACATATAACCTACCAAGACTGAATCATGAAGAAATAGTAAATCTGGACAGACCAGTTACTAGACCAATTACTAAGGAGACTGAATCAGTAATAAAAAATCTCCCAATAAAGAAAAGTCCAGGCAGGACCAGAGAGCTCCACTGGTGAATTCTACCAAACATTTAAAGAAGGATTAATACTAATTCTGCTCAAACTCTCTGAAAAATAGAAGAGGAGGAAACAATTCCAATATTATTTTATGAGGCCAGTATTACTGTGATACCAAATTCAGTCAAGGACATTGCAAGAAAAGAAAATTATAGGCCAATATCCCTGATGAACATAGATGCAAAAAAACCTCAACAAAATATTAGCAAACAGAATTCAACAATATACTAAAAGGATCATATATCATGATCAAGTGGGATTTATTCCAGGGATGCAAAGATGGTTCAACATGTGCAAATCAATCAACGTGATATACCACATTAACAAAATGAAGGATAAAAATCATATGATCATCTAAATAGATGCAGAAAAAAGAATTTTATGACTTTCGACATCTACTTATGATAAAAACTCTCAACAAACTGGGTATTTAGGGAACATACATTAACATAATAAAGGCCATATACGACAAACCCACGGCAAACAATATAAGCAACAGTGAAAAGCTGAAAGCTTTTTCTCTAAGATCAGGAACAAGACAAGGATATCCATTCTCACCAGTTTTATTCAACAGTCCTATCCAAAGCAATTTGGCAAGCCAGAGAAATAAAAGACATCCAAATAGGAAAAAAAGAAGTAAAACTGCCTCTCTTTGCAGATGACATGATATTATATATAAGAAAGACAAAAGACTCCACCAAAAAATTGTTAGAACTAGTAAATAAATTCAGTGATGTTGCAGGATGCAAAATCAATATACAAAAAATCTGTCCCATTTCCATACAGCAACAATGAACTGCTCAGAAAGAGAAATTAAGAAAATTTCATTTATGATAGCATCAAAAAGTATACTTAGGAACAGATTTAACCAAGGAGGTTAAAGATCTGTACACTGAAAACTATAAGACAATGATCAAAGAAATTAAAGAAGACACAAATACATGGAAAGATATTCCATGATGATGGATTAAAAGAATTAATCCATAATTAATTGATAAAATGTCCATATTACCCAAAGCAATCTAAAGATTCGATGAAATCTCTATCAAAATTCCAATGGTATTTTTCATAGAAATAGAACAATCCTAAAATGTGTATGAAATCACAAAAGAACATAATAGTCAAAGCAATGTTGAGAAAGATGAACAAAGCTGGAGATCTAGCATTTTCTGATTTCAAACTATATTATAAAGCTATGGTAATCAAAACAGTATGGTACCAGCAACACACACACACACACACACACACCCATAGATCAATGGAACGCAACAGAGTGCCCAGATATAAACTCATATATGGCACATATGGTCAATTAATTTATGACAAAGGAGCCAAGAATATATATGGGGAAATGACAGTGTCTTCAATAAATGGCGTTGGGAAAACTGGATAGTGACATGCAAAAAAATAAAACTGGACCCCTAACTTACACCATATATAAAAATCTACTCAAAGTAAATTAAGAATTGGCTCTGAGACCTAAAAGCATAAGAGTCCTAGAAGCAAGTATAAAAGGTAAGCTCCTTGGTATCAGTCTAGGCAGTGATTTTTTTTTTTTTAAATTGGCACCAAAAGCAAAGGTAACAAAAGCAAAAATAAATAAATGGTACTACATCAAACTAAAAGCCTTCTTCATAGCAAAGGAAACCATTAATGAAACAAAAAGGCAACCTATAGAAGGGGAGAAAATGTTCACAAATCATATATCTGATAAGGGGTTAATATCCAAAATATATAAATAATTCATACAACTCAACAGCAAAACAATAAACAATTCGATTAAAAACTGGACAGAGGAACTAAATAGATAATTTTCTGAAGACATACAAATGGCCAACAGGCACATACAAATGGTCAACACCACTAACCATCAGAGAAATGCAAATCTACTGACCTTTTGGAGGCATAGACGCCTATCTCCTAGATCAGCCAACCCCAAATAAGGGGGAAGGAGAGTCTCATAGCCAGTCAGTTATTTTTAGCTTAAAATAGAAAGGTCTTCATGATATGGCCTTTGCCTCTATCCCTGTCTCCTATCACTTCCCTAGCAAGTATTCTTTCACTCTAGCTATTTAATTCTTGTAATTTCCTAACTGGGTCATGTTATCTCAGGCCTTCACTGT